CCATCTATTTTTAGCTTGAAAGTGTCTTATCTTAATATCTATTGATCGGGCCACAAAACTAGTAGGCGATTATCTTCTGTAACCTAGTTGTTGACCCTTTTTTATCACCGCTATGACGGTGGGGTTTCATACAATATCCAACCCTCGTCCATTAGAGGCAGCCATAATAGGATGTGCACCAGATATACATCTGTGTGCACTTTCGGGTGGGATAGTACTGCCTGAGTGCCCGATATACAATACAAGTATCCCGTATATTATAAATAAATATACGTACGCGCATATTAAACGTATTTATTTCTTTTTGCTTTTTTAATGCAGGCCCAACACATCCTGACCACAGCCGTTAAACGGGGTGTGCGGGCGTCTCTGCCTCCTGCGTTTTTGGTCACGTCTCTGGATGGAATTCCTAAGCTGGATGCGAAAACGGGAAAGACAAACACCAACGGCATCTTCCAATGGACGTCACCATGGACAAATAAAGAGAAGCTCACCACCCTTCTGTTTCCCAGGTATTATTCTATACATGTGCTTATGACTATGTGTTTGTGAGTGTATACGTATGCATGTGTGAATTTATGTATGATTTATGTGTATGTGTGAATTTATTTATGATTTATATGTGTGTATGTGTGAATTTATCCCATGTATGTATGTATATATATATGAGTGTGTGACCCCATGTCGAAGAATGCATTGTTGATGACTTACATTCTACCTAATTATCGGCCAATTGCATTTCCATTATATTTGTCTTTACTTAAATTGCCGCTGTAGCTACACTTGAGAAGGATATCCGCATGTGTGTATCCACCTTTCCCGTACCATTATAAAGGCAACTCATCGTATTCATGTAGGTAAATTTTTCCGTACCTCCCCCCGCTTCTACAAATAGATTCATAGCCCTGGCCAAAGCCGCAGTGCAGACTCTGCGGTCACAGCTGATGACGTCCCACGCACACACCCAAAGCGACGCTGAGCGGAACATCCTCATCCGTTTAGTCTCCGTATTTGAGCCTAATCTGAACGAGTATGATGCACTGATCACACTCAACCCCACCACTATCACGCGTGCTAACGAGGCCGTTGCCGTGAGTGTGGGGGCCAGTGCTAAGGCGAGTGCTGAGGTGGGGGTGGAGAGTGGGAAGAAGAGCAGGAAAAGGAAGTACAAGAACCTGCAACCGCTGCAGGCCACAGGGCCCGAGAGCGTATATAGTAGTGGTAAGCGTGTAGTTCTGATATATGTATATGTGTATGTGTATGTGTGTTCTATGGTATATCTGTAGGTACATATACGTGATGGTGGCCACTGAGTGTGAGTTTGAGTGCAGAGACGTGTGTGTAAATGAATATTTCTGCACATAACTGGTTGTTGTAGATGGTCGTGCTGTCGTTGTTCTAGTGGTTTTGTCGTGAAAGTGAATGCATATACGAGTGTACAGTAGAGAATTGAGGCCGGGGGGTAAAGCAGAGCAGGAGGACGGAACGACGTCCAAGAGTTGGCAATCGCTGCAGGCGAAAGGGCAAGAAAATTTGTATAGCAGCGGCACAGCCTTGTTTACATGTTTACATGTTTGTACATATGTGTATATCCATGTGTTTATGCATATGTGTATATATACATTTGTTTATGTACTTGTATTCTTACTTTTATTTGCGCTTATAAGGTACACATATGTGGTGCGGATGTATGTGTTCACACCCATAGGACTCTTTATGAATTCATTATCCTTCACGGATGATGAATATAAGACAATGGTGATATAGACCAGTACGCAAATAGGCCTTTTCGTATCTCAACACCACGTGTCAGGCGTATCTTGTCATATAAATATATATATATATATATATATATATATACTTACCGTTGTGTAGTT